CCCAACAATGCCCCTTCCTTAAGTGTCTGCTGACATATGAAAAATTGGCCACTGTTATGTGTACTACTTGACGACCTGCTACAAGTGACCTTCCAATCTTCCAATCCGCTGACCTGGATGGGTCTTCCACTGCTTCTTCAAGCATTGGGCTTCTATGGGGATGTTCTTTTATCCTACCCCAAATTATCTTCTCTGACATAGGGGGTATTGTAGATGACTTAATTGCTGTGACATGCAAATCAATAGAAGCAGCAAAACTTACTGGAATTTGGCCCAAACGTCATTTTATCAAAATTAACTACACACTTCCTCGGTAGTATGTAGTCCAACCCTAGTATGCATTGGTCTTCAATATCAGCCAAGTATACTTTGTGTCTGTCCTTCATGTTCATGAGCTCAATAGTTACCCACACTGGTCCCCACAACCTTGCATAATGTCCTGTCACACCACAGAGCTTCTGTATGGCTTCTGGTACTCCTTTGTGATCTAGCACCTTGATACTCACAAAGGTTTGCTGAGATGCAGAATCTATGACAAAGTTGCACTTTTGGCCATCCAGCTTTCCTGTCACGTAGACAATATGTGTGCTTGCCATTTTACACTTAGCTGTTGGGACTTTCACGATTGAGTTGGTGGGCATCCCTCAGCACCAACAACTACTGGTTTCCCGAAGCTGACTTATTGATAGTATTCTTACACTGGCTCTTCATATGTCCTTGCTCTCCACAGTTCCAACAACCTTTCGGGTAGCAGCCTTTCCTGCCATGGCATCTTCCCTGTGTTGAAGTTGCTGGCATTGAGCTCTCTTGTGCCCTGGTTTGTTACAGTACCAGCAAAGTCTCTCAAACTTGTCTGTGAGCTGCCCTTTTCTGGCCTTGAATCCTGATGACTGTACCAACCTTGGTACTTCTGCACTGGATTTAATATAGGATTCGAATTCAAGAGCTCTGGCCATTGCATCCTGCATAGTAGAGGGGTGTGCTTGCTTTACTTGTATCTTCAGTTGTGGACTGTCCAAGGCATCTACAAACTGATCCCTCAGCAACAACTTGAGGAGATTGGGTGGTGCAGTTGGGTAGGTCTTGTGTGCCATGCTTTCCAAGTCCTGTGCCAGCTCTTGCAGGCTCTCCGCTTTAGCACGGACACTTGTCCTAAACCGAGCCCTGTAGACTTCGGACTGATTTTGAGTTCCATACCTGAGCTTTAGAGCAGCTACCAGTGCTCTATAGTTGTGCTTGTCATCTGCTGACAACTGTCTAAGTATTTACAGTGTTTGTCCCTTCGGGCTCGTTGCCAAGTACACTGCTTTCTGCTCCTCTGTCCATCGATTCATCTCTGCCAGGAGCTCAAATTGTGCTCTATATGCTTCCCACAGTGCCTTTCCATCAAATTCCTGTGGCTTTCTTCATATTAGATCACCCCTATTGCTGATACTCATGTCTGGAATGTGACTTCTGGCAGGATTGAAGATGTCTGCATTAGGGTTTAGCTGCAGGGTGTGGAAGGGGCTTCCCATTGTCTGGGGCTGATTAGGCCCATGGCTAATATATCCTCCCTGTGTAAAAGACAGTAAATCGTCCTTTAATGTATTTAATTCACTTTGAAATTTACTAATCTTTTCCATTTGTGTATGCTGGTTTCTCTCAACTGTTGAAGACTTTCT